TTGGGGGGGGGGGACATGGGGGCAGGGGCTTTGTCATTCTGCACCCGCAGACATCTCCAGTGCCTAGATCGATGCCTGGCACCCACAGATGCTCAGAAGAAGCTAGAAGCCGAGGTGTTCCCTGGGGAGGTGGAGGGGGTGGTGGTGGAGGACCAGGAGGTGTGGACAGCAGGGACAAAGTCCTGGAGGCTGGGTCTGTCTTAACCATCCCAGAGCTGGCCCACAGTGGGGGCTCTTTATGGCATTGCAAGGCCTTGGAGTGTGGGAGTTGCTGGGCAGGCAGAGGGATGGAGGAGCCGTGGGGACAGCTTGGGGACAGTCTGCATGACTAACCAGCCCACCCCTGACCTGGAGGGCCTGCAGCTCATGCCAGGTGCCGGGCCCAATGTCGCCAACCCGGAGCCGGTTGTGCGCCAGGCTGAGCTCCTGCAGCTGGTCCAGGCCGGCCAGTGGCTCGGGTTCGAGGGCCCGCAGCTGGTTGCGCTGTAGCCGCAGGGTGCGCAGGCTGGTGGGCAGGCCCTCGGGCAGGCGGGTCAGCTGGTTGCCAGCCAGGTCAAGGCTGCGCAAGGCACGCAGTGGGCGGAAGGCCCGGTGGTGCACACGGGCACTGGCCAGGCGGTTGTAGGCCAGGTTGAGCTCAGCCAGGCCCGGCGTGGTGGCCAGGTCACGGGCACCCAGCGTGGCCACAAGGTTGTGGGGCAGTACCAGCGCCCGCAGGCGGCGGGGCAGTGCCAGGGGCATGCGGTCCAGCCCATTGCCGTAGAGGTGCAGTGTGTGCAGGCCCCGCAGTGGCCGCAGCGCCCCGGCGGGCAGCCCTGAGGACCCCAGCGCGTTGTGCTGCAGCAGAAGGTAGCGCAGGCCCCGAGCCCCGCGCAGCCGAGCTGCCTCCACCCGCTGGATGCGGTTGCGGCCCAGGTGCAGGATGGCCAGGGTTGCGGGCAGGCCTGCAGGCACCGTGGCCAGCTTGTTGTGTGACAGGTCCAGGTACTCAAGGCTACGCAGCTTGCTGGTGGGGGAGAGTGGTGGCATCGGGCTGGGCTCTCAGAGTGGGGGGCCACGTGGATCTTGCGGGAGAGGTGAGGGATGGTCCCAAGACAGGTTATAGCTGGAGATTTCAACTTGGGGGTGATGAGAAAGCTGGGTGGGAGGCAAACTTGGGGTGCTCATGGCCGAGTCCAGCCTGAGTGTTAGCTGTAAGGGTGACCAGGACAGAGTTCTGGGTCCAAGACAGAAATGTGTGTGGCAGCTGTGACATTGGATAATAAAATACCTGCCAAGTGTTGCTGGCACACAGTAGGCACTCACCAAATGAGGCCTTGGTTTAAGAGTCATCCAGGGGACAGGCACTGAAGGTTGGGACCCTGGACCATAAATGCTCAGCCCCTACTGCCAGCACAGTGCTGCACCCTGTCCCTCCCCACAGCCACAAGCCCCACCTGAAAGTGGTGGCGTCCAGGCCGCTGTCCGTCAGCTGGTTGTGCTGGAGGTAGAGCTCACGAAGTTGTGTCTGGCGGCTCAGAGCTCCTCGGGGCACCTTGGAGATGAGGTTGTTCTGGAAAAGGAAAAAGAGAATGAGACCAAGCGTCTGGGACAGAGGGCAGTAGGGAGCCACAGCAGGCTCTTGAGTAAGGGAGTGATGAGCTCACTTGAACGACCTGTGTCAGTGAAAGTGACTCAAAGGAAGGTTATTCTGACTGCTGGAATTCTGAGGGCAGTTGGAAGGATGGAAAGTGAGGAGGAGGAGGGGTCCCCCAGAAGAGAGGTGAGGGGGCCTGGGCTCAGGCGGGGACATGGGACAGTGGGGTGAAGGAGGGGTACCTGCAGGTGGAGCCTCTCCAGTGAGGGCGGGAGGCTGGGCGGCAGGTAGCTGAGCCGGTTGCTGGAGAGACTGAGGGTGGTGACAGCCTCGGAGCCGTGAAAGGCGTCAGGGGGCAGGCCAGCGTTGCTCAGCTGGTTGTTGTGGAGGTACACGGACCTGAGGGGAGCCAGGCTCCAGCCACCAGCCTGCCCCCCGCCGCTCCACAGCCCCCCACTCTGTCCCCTGCCCCAGCTCAGGGCCGCCTTCAGTGTGCGAGCGCGCATGAGTGCACGTGTGTGTCCGCGTGTGCAGTCTCTGCCTAGGTCTGGAGTTCTCCAGACACAGTGAACACGGCCCTCAGAACCCCAGGGCAGGGTCATGCCCCCCTCCCACCCTCTAGGGCAGAGCCCTGCCCCCCTCAGACCACCCCAGGACAGAACTGTGCCCCCCTTTCCTCAGATCCCCTGGGACAGGGTCTTTACCCCCTCAAACCCCCAGAATGGGCTGTGACCCCAGACATATCTGAGGCCCGGGGGTCCTGGGCTGGGCCAGGGGCTACCTGAGCGCCGGCTTTTCCCCAAAGGTGAGCGGGAAGATCTCCATCACTTGGTTGGCAGCAAGATCCGCGACACGGAGGGAGCGTGGCAGAAACTGGGGGGCCACTGAGAGCTGAGGGAGCACAGCCGTGCTGGGCCTGGTGTCCCCGGCCCCCTCCCCAGGCCCCGAGCTGTCCCATCTGCACTGAGTGCTGTGTGACCCTGGCTGGGCTGCAACCTTGCTGAACTCAGCCTCAGGGTGGGGTTTTGGGGGCTCACCTTGTTGTGGGCCACATAGATGTGCTGTAGCCGTGTAAGGGACTCGAAGGCCTCATCGGGCAGGCCTGGTGGGGGGTGGGGCAGTGAGGGCACCCCAGGCCTGGCACAGGGCAGGGGGAGTCTATGCTCCCAGCTGCCCCAAGGCTCCAGGCTGGGAGCTGGCAGAGGCTCCCCCCGGCATTCAA